CAAGAAGTTGATGGATTACCAACATGGAATCTCCATATACATCGACATCCTGGATGTTCATCCCCTTTGCCATTTGCAATTCCAGAATAAGTGCTTGATATTCAACAACGTTGTTCGAGCCCGATATTATTATCGGGTCAACCAAATTTCGAGCCCAATCACGATCAAACACTTAAAGCGTTGTTCAGGTTGTTTCTTTGATAAAATTCCCCTTTTGACCACCAGACGATGAACTGCAAATTTAGGATCAAGCCCCGTCATCTCTTTATAGCTCCATGCAAACACATCTTTGTACTCCATGAGTAGGTCGAAGTAAGTTTTTTCCTCATTAGGAGAGAGTTGAGCAATTACATAGATAGGGCGTGGCTCATCCGTGGTACCAAGATTCAATTCCTTTAGATCATCAACAGTGGATTGCCACCCGTCCTCGATGGTCTTAGGGGCTTCTGTTGGCTCCACCTGTCCATCCAAGATATTTTCTTCCGAGACAGTGGCGTGGTTAGAAGTAGCAAGGATATTCTCACGGTCATCATCTTCACGATAAGTCAGAACTTTTTGGCCGGTGAGAACACTGTATGTCCTTTCACACTAAGGGTTTCGCCTGTCTTTACTTCCAGTAGATCGAGGTGCTTCATGCGAGACGGGATAATGCTCTTGACATCATTCTCTAACTCAAATTTCTTCATGTTCCTTTTCTGCTGACATCATGATTTAGAGATGGCTCCAGTGTTCTCTATCCGGTTGAAGAAATTTCTCTTATGCTTCTTGACTTGCATGTTTTGTGGGAGATGGTTGATGGGTTTGTTTTCCACTCTTAATATTTTAAAGACGCCCTTAGACTTCTTCATGCCTCTTGATTGACCACCCAATCTACTAAATATGAACTCTGATAAGTCGAGACTTGGACCCTCCAACCTATCAAAAACTGAATGATGTGGCCTAGATGATGATGGTTGAATCCTATCGAAGACAGAGCCCCTTTGTTTTGGTGTAGTGTTTTCACCTACAATTTCCTCAACTTCTTCCACCGCAGTATACTGGGATGCTTGTATCGACTTTCTTCGAGCCGAGATCTTCACTGGTTGAGGTTCCGTGAAACCCAATCCAACTTTTTTCACCCAAACACGCTCACCTTGTTGTTGCAGCTGCTGTTGAGATTTGTTGAGTTGATAGGAGTCAGCATCGATGACCTTTCCCATGGGCTTTGGGTTAGAAAAATCGTACCCTGAGCTTTTCATCAATCTGTAAGCAACTGGGTCAAATCCTTCTTTCCTAGCGCTAGGCATCTCCGATATATTTTCAAGGCTTGCAGATGGTGGATTAGATATCTTTTGGTTTCTTACTCGTCGAACTGGAAAAGTCATGCTTTCATATAATGAAGATAGCTTACTTTCGACTTTCTTAGGTGCGACACGTACTTCACATTTTTCGAATGGAGTTTGTCCCTCCTTGCGACGTGACATAGGAATGTAACATAGCACTTGAACATGTGAGTTAGACTTCAATTCTATGCTTTTTTTTTTCTCATTGATTTCCTCAACCTTCTCACTCAAGACCTCCTTTGAAGGAGGGTCTTCTTTCGTTTGTTGCTTCTTCGGAGCTTGTTTTCCTGTGGAGGCTATCTCCAATGGCATCACTTCAACTGGCTCTTCTTGATTGATGTAGAACTTTGCATCAGCGAAATGAGATTCGGCCTCTGAGAAAGGCTTCACCTCTGCGCTCACCCTTCTTGTAATACTTGAAGCATTCATGCAAGGTTGATGCTACTACTCCATTTTCGTGCATTCATGGTCGCCCTAACAACAAATTGTATGAAGTTTTTGAATCAATGACATGAAATATTGTTGCTGCAGTCATCTCTCCAACAGTTAAATTGACTTTTATCATGCCGATGGCTCGTTTCCCCCCGAGGTTGAAACCTTAAATCATGAGGCGGCTTTGAGACAATTCATCATCGGTGATTCCTAACTTCCTCATAGTATACTTTGGCATGATATTCACTACAGAGCCTCCATCTATGAGTATGCGATTAACCTTTTGTTTGCGGATTTATCCACAAATAAAAAGAGGTCTATTATGAGGTTTCGACCTAAGCATAAGATCTTCATCAGTGAACGCCAAAGATGCACTGCATGCTGCACATCGGTCAGGATGGTCCTCATAGATGCCTTGATCGATATTTTCCTTTGATGTATAATGAATAGGATTTTCTATAGCTCGTGCCATAGAGAATCGCATTTCTTCTGGTAGAGACAAAGCTTGGCGCCATCCCATACGAGATGGGACTGTGTCTAACAACGCAAGAATCTTTGAGTCTCTTTCGGAATCTCCTGAATGATCAAGACTTGTAGATGGTTGACTTTCCTCAGATCCATCTTTTACTTCCGTCGTGTAACAAGATACTGCATCAACAGAAGCTTCACTGAAATAATTTCGAGGGAAGAATTTGTCTAAAGTGATTGGCATCCAGGGCTTTACTTCTTCACGAGGGACAAGTAAAGTGCGCCGCTTCCTTGTTCTTTTCATTTACTCCGCCTTTTCGAGACCTTTCCTTGTTTGCTGGTGCTTTTTAGAAGGTTGTGAAATGGATGTAGTTGGCTTCCTTGCCTTCCTCCTGGTTACCAACATCCACCCTTCCTCTTCCTCTTCATATGGCAATGGAGTAGGATCTGAATGTAATGTTGGGCTAGACTTCATTACTTGTATGACAACAGGCTCCAAACTCCCAAACTGGATAATTTGTGCATGTCGTTCACATGGTGAAGCATCCACGACGACTTTGGTATGATTGGATCCTATTGTTTCATCTAAATCTAGCACAATCCTTCCGTCTTTTGCGAGCCTCATTATTTTCTCCTTGAGATTGATGCATTTTTCGAGGGGATGACTCAACAATCTATGGTATCGACAATAGTTTGGATCAGATGTTCTACCCATTTTCTCGGGGCGTTTAGACTCAGGTAGCTCGATGATCTTTTTCTCGAGCAAGTCGTCTAGAATTCCTGACAAATCTGAATCTAGAAACGGGTACTTTTTTGCCTGCAATTCCTTTAAGGTGGGCCCTTCTCTTTTTGTATTTTCATCCTTCAAAGATGACTCTCTCTTTTGTTCACTCTTTGGCTTACCAGAAATTTTTACTGGAGCAGATGTGGTGGAGACCGCCAACGACTCTTTGGTAGATTTCTTGCTGGTCTTTTCCGTCTTCTTGAAATCATTTTTCTCTTTCCTGACGAAATCTGAAGAGCTTGTATCACAGCTTGAGATGCTTATCTCCATGTCGTGGGCTCGAGTTGCTAGTTCTTGAAAGGACCTTGGTTTTATCCCATGTAGGATGTACAACAGATCCCACTTCATCCCTTGGATACACATTTCGACAGCAGAGGTTTCTGATAGACGATCTTTGCATTCAAGACTTAAAGCTCTCCATCGACTGATTTAGTCCAGCACTGGTTCATCTTCCCATTGTTCAGTCTTGGTTAATTCGATCATGCTGACTATGCGTCGTGTATTGTAGAATCTCTTCTTGAACTCCTCCTCCATGTCATCCCAACTATCGATGGACTCTCGAGGGAGATCAGTGTACCAATCGAACGCAATTCCCTTAAGGGCCTTAAGGGAACGGACGAATTGTTTGACAAGCAAGTCTCCTATTGTTCCAGCGTTGTTGCATGTCTCAATAAAATGAGCGATGTGCTACTTGGGGTTGCCTTTCTCATTGAATTTCTGGAATTTTGGGGGTTGATAGCCTTTAGGCATCTTCAATTTGCTTATCCTCCTGCTATATGGTTTCTCGTACAGCTTCTTGTCGCGAGAACCTTCTCCACTTGGTTCTTAATAGCGTTTGCTATCATATCCTGGATCTTGTAGATGGTGAATATGGACTCGCTTTTAGCACTTGATCCGAAACTCTCGCTCTTGGAGTCTACTTCTTCCTCTTCCGAATCGCTTGCTCCCTTTGGACCTTTTTTCAAGCTTTTTGTTTAAAGTAGAGATCTTCTCATTTTGTTGCTTGATCTGCTCATCTTTTTCTTCTCCATACTTCATTAACTTTTGAAGGAGGCCCTTTAATTCGACAAGTTGTTCCTCGGCGGTCTTGGATTCAATCACCATAACAGCAGCAATAGTTGTTTGTGATGATTGAGAAAACTCAATCATATCAGAAGTTCGTCGTGGAGTTGAAGGATATGAGGCACAACTGCTTCCTTGATCTCCTTCGTCGAAGGCATCGAAAAGCGGGCTGGTATGGATAACTAACTTCTCAGATCTGGCAGGTGGAGTCCTTTCTGAGTCGTGTGTAGAGGCGGAAGGTTCACCTTTAGGAGGAGGGAATGAGCCGAACACCGGAATCTCATGAGAAGCGAGAGATTTGAGGAGGAACGTCCACGAGATCTTGTGCTTGGCTTAGTAGGGATGATAGCAGTTCGAAGTCTCGCGGCAGATTCCTGAAATTCGGCCCTCCTCTTCATTCCTCTAGTGTGCAAGCCATCGTCCTTGAACAGTGCAGCCAACTCCGCAGCCTTTTGCTGGGCAAAGGTGAGATCCTTGGTGGCGGATTAAGAGGTGTTGTTGTTTGAAGCCATTGTTGAAGACTTGACATGGAAAAGGAGATGAGTGGTAGGGATGGTCCCACTGAGCGTGCCAAAAATTTGTAAACACAAATTTTGCGTCTGCGAAATAGTCAAAATAAATGCAAAAAATATAATTTTTATTAATATAACAAATTTGAGTATAATCTCTAATGTAATCCACTGATTCGATCTCCACGCTACGTCGTTAAATGGTTCGATTTGTTGTAGTCGAAACTGGAATTCCTTGATAGAGGGCCGAAAAGGCTTGATCTCAATCAAGGTTGGTCTTCTAAAATGGAACGGCACGTCCGATGCTTGTTGTTCTTCTTCTAGTTCTTGAGATTGGTTTTTAGAGAAGTTTAGAGAGGGTTTTTGAATAGAGAGGTTTTTCTGTAGAGAGATTTTTCTCTGTATTTTTCATGTGTATGAAATGAGGGAGAAAGTTCTATTTATAGAGTTCTCCTAAGCTAGGGTTTCAAGATGACCACTAAATGGGCCTCATATCCATTTCCACCTCCTTTCATAAATGACCCATTTAAATTAAATCAAATCCATTTTGTTGGACTTTATTATTAATTAAATAAGTTTAACTAAAATAATTAATACAGGCCAAAGTAACACAGATTAATTATTTAGTCAATATACCCGAGTCAATAATTTGACTTTGACCCAAACAATAAGTAGTGATACTTGATAAAATTTCCATGCCTACACAAGTACAACGCCAAAATTTGAAAAAAAAAAAAGCTGAATAATACGAATTTGGAAGTTGATTCCCTGATCAAAGGTCCCTTTTTTCCTGCAAAATTCGACAGCATGTAGCCTCCTTCAACCCCTCTTCACTCTCTTCTTACTCACTCAATATTCACAGATTTTCTCTCTCCTTCTTTTACCGACTACCTGAATTGTCGGTCAACATCACCACTTCTTCAACTCTTCATATTATTCGAGGTACTTGAGAATCTAATTCTATTCTGGTTTTGTAATTGATTTTTTTTTTATTTTTATTATTTTTTTTATATGGTTTATGAAAGTTATTTTGCAATGTATGTTGTGATTTTAATTTAAATGATTATGATTTGCGGATTTGGAATTTTAGTGTTTCGGATCAAAACAATCGAATCTCGGAAGATCCTTTTATCTTGAGGGAACTTGGTCTCGGTCCGAACGACGCAGGAGCCGAGGGTTTCCTGCACAACAAATACACGTAAACTAGCCTCGGGGGGGACGCCGAGGAAGGCCCCTCCGATGCTTAAGTCAGTATATTAGAGAGAGAAAGCTGTGCAAGAGTTTAGTTGCTTGAGGCTTTATTGTCTTACCAAGGATTGACCAAATTGTTGGCTTTTATACCTTGGCTAATGAAGGAGGCGGATTGGGCCCGGAAGTCAGTTGGGCTGGGCCAAGCTGATTGGGCCGTTGACTGACCTTGACATGGCTTTGAGGATGTTGATTTTTGACTTTAGCATATTTGGAGAGTTGAACCTTAACCTTGGGCTTTTAATTGGATCATTCAGTGACCAGGCCCAATTGGACTAAATTGGACCCAAACAACTTGCCCCCCAGACCCGATTTGGAAGGATGACGGGTCGGGTTTGATTTAATCAGAAAAGGAGGGAAGTGAATGATTTGTTGATCCAAAAATGTGAATTTAAACCGTAATCAACCCATGATTAATGAGATAACAACAGTTAATGTGGATAATTGCGGAAGTTGGACGGGTAGTGGGCGATTTAACTGCAAGGTCGTGTGTTTAACGGCTACTTAGTGGGGTGCTTGAGAGAAATTGAAACGCAGACTCCTTGAATTCCCATTTCTGGAGATATAAATAGAGGCGCGTCTTCTCTCCCCACTCACTCATCAACACAAACCCAGAATTCTCAAGAACGCTCAAGAGCCCGCATCAAAACTTCGCAAATTCCCCGAGCATTAAGCTTAGAAGCTGAGACCTGTCACTACCGATTCGTAAATCGGCGGCTTTTGCTTCAGATCAAGGTAAATTCCTTTGATTTTATTTCATTTTTCCTCGACTTTGCACTCTTTCCCCTTTTTCGACTTTTTCCTTCGAAATTCGTCGATGGTGAGGGGAGTTAGAGGTGGAGCCCGTGCTCCAAGAAGAGCAAGGCTAATCCTCGATCCCAGGGACAGGATTGGGACCTGGAATGGACGAAGGACAGAGTCTGACCCTGCTGAAGGGGTTAGGGCGACTCCCATTTCTTCGGCTCCTCCTCAGAGGGCTGAGGGGGTGAGAGCTTCAGGACGGGATGATGAAGTTCCCGCTGTCCTTTGGGATATCCTCCCAGGGTTTTCAGAGTGGGAGGATGCCGAAGTAGCTTCGGCCATGATAAAGAACCGTCCCTACTCATGGTGGGTAGAGAACGCCGATCAATATCGATTTGCTGAGCAAATTGAGTTGCACTACGGCATTTTTGAAGCTGATGGATATTGGTGCCGAATGCCCTCAGCATCCGATAGAATCCATCGTCCACCCCCGGGGTATGTGGGGGTGTACACGAGACAGCTTCAGTATGGGCTGAGGTTCCCTTTGGACGTATTCGTCCGAGACTTGCTGATCCATTACAACATTTCCCTGTGCCAGCTGACCCCCACCAGCATCCGAAGGGTAATGACGTACTTATGGGTCTGCAAATTCTTCAGATACGTGCCGAACCTGCACTGCTTCAGAAAGCTCCATCGGCTAGTGCCAAATATTCAGAGTGGGCACGGAAGCCATGGTTCTGGGTGGTATCGGATTGAGTCTCGGCCCCCGTTCCTAACCATGTGGCCGAACGACTCTTCAGACAAGGACTGGAGAGGTCAATGGATTTGGGTTAGGGCGCCCACGGAGCCGAGCCATCCTTATGTTTTCAGCGCTCCCCGGTATCTTGCCGAGCCGGATCCTGATATGGGAAGTTTAGGTCCTCCCGAAGATAGCGGGCCAGACCCGAACCTTAATCAGCAGAACATCTTCGGCAAGCTGCCGAACCGGGGAGGCAGCGGCCGAATGCAGCATATCCCGGAGACTTGGCTCCCCGATACGCACTATGTTTTCCAAGAGAATATGCTGGCAGCTGTCGGCCTCAGCCGAAAGTTTAGGGATGGTAATCTTCTTCGGCTGGGGCCGAGGCCTTTTAATTATCTCTTTTCTTCTTTCATTTTGCTTTCTTGTGATGTGCCGAACTAACTGAATTGACTTCTCCCCTTTTCTTTTTCAGAACGGGACGAGACCAACGTCGGCATTGATTACGCTCGCCTTGGCGTCAGCCGAGAACGAGTCGTAACTGATCGGGCTCCCCCTATCACTGAACCAAGGCGCCGAGAGGTTCACCTAGACTCTTCCCACTTCCAAATTGAGGCTGTTGCTCTGTATCAGAGGCAGAAGCCTTGGTGGAAGAAGAGGGATCCCTTGTTTCAGCTGCTGGAAGAAGAAGCTGAAGCTGCCCGCACAGCCGAAGAGGTTGCACGGGTACTTGAGGCTTGTGAAGGAGGAGAAGGGTCCTCCAGAGCTGCTGAAGCCGAAGCTGCAGCTAGAGCAGCTGAAGAAGACGAGGCTTTGCTGAAGACCTCGGTGAGTTTTTAGACAACTTTTTTCTTTTCTTTTCTTTTTTTTTACTCACACTCTTCTTCCCCCCTGTCTGTTACAGTCTGAAGAGAGTAACAGACACAGAGAAGGCAAAGCTCCTGTTCGTCCCGAAGATCAAATACAAGAGTCTTCAGATTCAGATATGGACGAGCAGCCCCTTCTGAAAAGGCGCCGAAGGATGGCCATCATCGGCCCTCATGATTTTCAGCAGAGGCCGATGACCATCGGCGTCGCAATAAGGGAACCTGAGGAAGGCAATGGATCGCCGAGGGTTCCCCAGCCAACACCCCAATCTCCTCAAAAGACCCCTCCGCCACCTCCTGAGATGGAGGTGGATCAGAGAACTCCCGGACCTAAGGGAGGGGTCCAAGAAGAAATCAAGGAGAGTGCTGCTGAGCACGAAAATAAAGATGCCGTGATGTCAAGTGCTGAAGGCTTCACGGCAGATATCGCAAGAGAGGTTGAGGCTTTCGTCCTCACCCCTGAAGAAGAGGAGGTCATAGTACTTGACTCCTCTGAGAAGGACGATGCTGAGACAACCAAAGCTAATCAAGCTCCATCGTCGTCCTTCCCTTCTTTCCAGACTCTGCATTCTGGAGAAATGGGTTTCTCGGCCCCCCGAATTCCAATCCCAGATCACATCTGGGACCTCATATGGGGTCCAAACCGAGAAGGAGCTGCAGCCTACTTCGGCAATTTTGCTGGCATGTCCGAAGTAGACAGGGCAAGGATCTGGTCGCTGAAGGCCACTGCTGGGATGGGCGAATCCAGTAGATCAGTTCCTGACCCAGCCAGGTCTAACCAACTGCTGATGATGCAGGTAATTTTCCTTGCCTTGATTTCTTTCTGAACTCAACCTTTCAGCTATTATTTTTTACTTTTTTAACTTGTGCCCCTGTTTTCAGTTCGTGCACAATCAGACTCTCACTGTAGAGCTGATAGATTCCCTACAAGATAGGGTGGACGCTGCTGTGCACGAAAGGAAGGTGGCTGAAGAGGAAGTTAAGCTTGCTAAGCTGAAGCAAGCAGCAGCTGAAGAGAAGCAGCAGGAGGTTGAGGAGTACGGTAAAAAAGCTGCCGAAGCTCTGAAAACCTTCTGCGATGCTATGGAGATGGAGGTTTTTCCCCCACTGATGGAAGGGGAAAAATTCCTCCAGGAGCATATGGGAGTGGACGTCTCCAAATTCAAGGCTGCTATTGAGAGCCGAATTCAAGAAGGAACTGCTGCACAAGCTGAAGTGCAGCAGCGTCTAGAGGCTCTTGAAGCCAGCCGAATGGCTGCTGAAGAGTTGCTCTTGGCCAAAGACGTCCAACTCTCAGAGGCTGCTGCTGCTGCTGAAGCTCAAAGAGCTAAGCTACAAGAGGCTGAGGATCAGCTCACTGCCAAGAAGGAAGAAATGGTCCAAGTTCAGGCCGAGGCTTCCCGGGTTCAGCAAGAGTTTACCGAGCTGAAAGGCTCCTCCTCCAAGCTCGTCGATGAGCTGAAGAGATCCGAGGAAGACTTGGAGGAGACGAAGAAGAAGTTGGCCGATGCTGAGGCTCTACTCAAAGTCCGTATCTATACCCAAGAAGAGTATGAAATGGGTTTTAGAAACGGGTTCAGAGTGTGCCGAAGGGTCTGCCTTCATGCTGAGCCGAAGCTGGACTGGTCCAAATGTGCTGAATGGGTCCAAGATCCCGAAGACCCTCACATGAAGTATGCCACTCCAATCGAAGCTGAAATCCTTAAGGCTGAGGAAGCCGAGGAAGAAGCTGAGAGGATGGAGTTGGAGGCTGAGCAGAGGGAAAGGGAGGCTCGGCAGAGTGCAAAGCCTGCTTCTTCTGCTGCTGGAGCTGAGACCACCATTGGGCCCAATGAAGCTGATCAGTCTGATCCTCAGGCTGAAGCATAGGAACTCGGGCAGTCGTCTTCAGAATCTTGCGGTTCATCATGCGCTCAACTTTAGACTTGCCGCTTTCTGAATTTTTGCCTTTTGTTTTTTTTTTGCTTCAGCTTGCCTTATCGTACAACAGCTTATTATATTTTTATTTTGCCTGTACGTATTTCGGCAGCTGTTACTTTCCGCTTGTGGGCGGCTGCCGACAATTTTTGTAATTCAACATTTTTATTTCAAAGAAGTTCACTTTCTCAGCTTTCTCGTGTATTTTTTCCTTCGCTCTACCAGTCTTCGCACTTTACTGCTTTCTTTGAATGATCTTTCAAATATTTGCTAAGTGCAGAACTTCGGCTAGCGAGAATCATTTCTGCTGAGACTTCTTTTTGCCGTTTGTACTCGGATGTTTTCAACTTGTGAAAAAACTGACATAAGTATCAAACTTCGGCTGAGCTGAAGGGTATTAGATCAGTTGTGCCATTTCTCTATTTCCCTCT